ATAGGTACAGATTGTTATGCTATATGTGTATGTTCTTGGTTATGGTTTTACATGACTAACAGTTGACTAGTCATAAGTACATTGGATCAAAGTTTAAAGTGTGTGAAGATTGTTGTGTCTGTTTGAATAATATTTAAATTACCCTTCCTCACCTAAGTACCAGTTAAAAATTCCCATGTGAGGGATATACAATCTTTGACAATTATTTCACTTATTTGCGTAAAAGAACAACAATATTAATCAGAGAGTTCAAAAGAGAGTTATATATTGCATGGCAGAAATCATAGAGTTCACCCTTCAAGACATTAATTAACGTTCCAAAATCATTGTGCCATTTCTCATCCCAAGTTCAGTTATTAGAGAGAACTCAGTCATATTTCATCATCAGACAACAAATATATATAAACTAAAAATGAAACACTTAAATTACCTATTTCAAAAAGAGTTAAAGATTGATATAGATTTGCTCATCATCAGAGACATCTCTTGAATAGATACTCACAATCACTCCCTCCCACCTTTTTAGGTAGATGCTTTCCTCTATGAACCCATACAGATAAAAATTTCTGATTCTGATTCTACAACAAGGTGTAGTATCTATTGACCAACAAAATATATTGACTATCAACTTAAAGAGTTTTTATAAAATTAAAAAAAAAAAAGCCATTTATCTCATACTTTCATAAATGTCCGTTTTGATAAAAACTTTCAAAAATAGCCAAAAACTCACGTAAATAAACTCAAATGCCCTTAAAACTTAAACCTACATAATCCTAACAAGCAAAAGAAAGTGTCCAGTGAAATGAACTCACAATGTGAAGTGGATATTCCAAAATAAGAAAACTACAGCTGCATGGAGCAAAATAAACGGCTGAAGGAGCCAACAAAAGGGGGGACCCCCAAAACAATCACAAACAAAGAAAGCCTAGCAATAATGCAAGGGCACCCATAGTCCAACAAACCGAAGGCAAAGGGCCTATCAGACCAACGAAGAAAGTATAGCTACAAAGTGAAGAACTGTGCAAGTACCAACAAAAAAATTAAAAAAAAATTAAAAAAAAAAAATTCCTTTTAAATTTTCGGCTTGTTGATTATTTTATTTTTCATCTCACTGGTAAATTCCTAATTTATATGAAAAATGAAGAGATTTGAGAATTAAGTTGAATTAATTTGGAATGATTTTAAATTAGTGGAAGTGTTAGAAAAATATTTAAAAACGTTATTTTGAGGTTATTTGGAGAAATGGTGTTGAAGAAAAATACTAAAAGTAAAAAGAAGTCCGTAGAAACATTGGGGGAATTTTTTGGATATTTTTAGTGGATCTTTGAAGTTGAGGAAAACTAAATTTCAGTAAGGGAGCCATCCATTTGGACCTGACTCATTCAGATCGACATCTAGGTGCGTAGACAGGTTGCTAATGTGGACTGAAGAAGAGCGAACTCGCAATTTGGACCGTTGATTTAGCTTCTTTTTTTTCGGCGCAATATAACGGTCTACATCCCACCGCCCTTGAAATTCACTCTCAACTGCCCAAATTAATTCCATTAAAAATAAATAAATCTTGGCCATCCAATTGAGCCCAACCCAGCTCCTTTATAAATAGCCGCATCCTTTCACTTTTGTCATTTTGGGCTGATTCCCTCTTGAGAGGAATGGTCTGTGAGAAGGGAGGTTTCTTGTTCCATGACAATTTCTTCGCTGAGCAAGAGGGCATGAAGTTCTTCAGCCATTTAGGGTGTATGCCAAGAAGTCGGTGTCATCAAGGGGAGAGCACATGTAGCAACTAGACTATTAGCTATATGCTTTTTGAGACTTTTTGAGACTTTGGATGCATTGGAGGAGTGATGTAACCTCGTTATGATTAAATCTTTGTACAAGACATGATATTCAAGATCTGCTAATTAAATAAGTAATCTTCTTGAGTTATGAGTGAGAGATTTGCTGCAAGGAAGACTGAAATCTTAAAAGGGTAAGTAAATCTTTGTTGATTTAAGTTTATTTGCCCATTGATAAAAAAAAACAAAAAAACAAAAGAAGGAAAGATTTATGGTCTTTTATTTGGGTTTGTACACCAAGGCTAGGTGCTAAAAGGGAGGGAAAGATTTAAAATTTAATTTCCCAAGTGATCGTACAAAGAGGGGAAAGAATTTACCAAGTAAAAGCAAAGTTGGGAGTGAGAGCAACTCGACCAGTGTCTCAATATCCAAAGGTTGCATCTGGATTTCGTGCTTATTTACTTCTGAAGATAAATCCTTGATTTTGCATCCATATTCCAATTTAAATATATATGTGTATGAGATGTTGTTTCAGAGTCCACAGTTTAAGATATATACAGTTATTTTCTCCTCCGTATGTCCACACGTTATTATCGTGCGAATGTCATTGTAAAGCAGGGATGGGTATATATATATCCCAATTTAACCTCTGGGTGTCCTGATCAAATTGGAGGGTATGCGGTCTGTAGAGGAATTGGGGTTGTCGTTGGTGCAGTGAACAAAGGGGGTTCAGATTTGGCTTTCTCAGGGTTGTTTTTCGAGACTGTAGAGCACTATTGGCTCACTTCGTTGATGCCCTTAGAAATAAGCTGGTACGTTATGCCCTGGGATAAATCAAATGGCTGTTTGGAGGACAGTCAACAGCTTTGCTTCCTTTTTAATGAAATCTTGCTTCTTCTGAAAAAAAAAAGGGTGTTGTTTCAAGAAAACTAGGGGTTGTGGCTAGTTTAAAAGATAGTAAATTTGAAACTCAAAATTTCGTCCTGGTTTAGGGCTGGGAATTTTACTGGAGTGAATATATAGACAGGCATGAGAGTTCGTAAGAATGCTCTAATATATGCCAGTTTCTTTTTCTTTTTTCCTTTATATTTATTTTCTGAAATTACTTTTTCAGGATAAATAAATAGATTTTTTTTTGTTTATTGAATCTACTTCTTTTTAGCTTACGTTTTCATGAAAATTTGCAGGATATAGTTCTTTGGTTAGCTAACAAATAGCAGACCCAATGAAGCTGCAACATTGGACCGTTCTTCTTCAATATGGAGATATTTATAGAGCAGTACAACCCTAAATAAAATAAGAAATAAATCCAAATTACAATATAAAATAAATATAAATTACAATAGGAAATAAATCTCAATTATAATAGGACTAGATAAATGGGTAAGTAACCAAAATCATAACATAGTAAGGAACCGAAAACCTAACTAAGTAAGGACTCGCTAACACTCCCCCTCAAGTTGGGGCAAAGATATTTCGCATTTCCAACTTGACAAGCGAGTCACAGAACACCATACTTGAGAAGCACCAATTGTAGAGAAGGTCTTTTCGTCAACCACGAGTGAAACAAGTGACAAGCGTCAAACCCTAAAAAATAGGGCACATAGCAGAACACAGAAACCTGTGAGCACAGCAGTAGGTAAGGCAGAACACAGAAACCCTGTGAGCACGGCAGTAGATATGGCAGAAACCAAACCCTAAAAAATAGGGTAAGGCAAGGTAAAGCCAAACCTCGAAAAAAATAAGGTAAGGTAAGGCAAAGAAAGTCAAAAGCAAAGGCAAGGTTAACGACCGTGACCACAAAGGAGACACACCAACAAAGGCATGAGCAATAATATTGGCATCATAACAAGCAGAAGCAACAATACTAGTACCAACAATAGCAATACAAGGCACTGGCACCAGCAAGAGCAACAAGGCAGGGACAGAACAGGTATCATCAACAGTAATCAACACTGTCCCCAGCAAGAGGCATAATAGGCAGGAGCAGTAACATTTGGCTGAAATAGATTTCTTAAGAAAATGAAACAACATAGCTTATAAGATGTTTTGAATGATAACTAATTGAGGAGTGTTTTGATCTATGTATTTGAGTTGATTGAGGTGCTATAACTTGTTTTGATATGTTTAAACGATTTGAGACAAAAACTGCAAACACTTTTTTTTTTTTTTTTTGTGGGTGGAATGGCCTTGGGCCATCTCGGATTGAGCCGCGGCGGTTTTGCTCCTAGTGCGTTTGCTTCCAACCATGGTTGTTTGGAAGGCTTCGGTGGATTGGAAAATAGGAGAAACGGATTCCTTGAGCACGTTGAGTATAACTCGTGCTCTCAATGAAAGCACCAAATGTTTGTGCAAATAATCTCATGGGAGAATATTCGCTTCTAGATCCTTCAACCTTCGATCTTCCTTCTCTCTCTTCCTCGATTCTTGTAAAACAGATTGGAGTAAATATACCACACCCGGGGGGTGTTGGCCAAAGGCCCTCCGATGCCTAAGTTAGTTCGAGTGTTTGTAGAAAAACAATAGCTAAGCAAAGGGTACGGAGTAGTATTTATGTAGGGTGTGAACCGGGCGGCCAGAGCAGTGTGTGGTGGCCAGAGCCGTGTGGAGAAAATATGGAGAGTGGAGAGGGAGAAAGAGCTTCGGGTATTTTTCTCGGGTATAAGGAGTATGTTTAGATGTACCTTGAATGATGAATGAAGTCATCTATTTATAGGAGCCTCGGGGCTAGGGTTTCGTAGAGAATATGCTGAGTTTATTCTCTACCCAAATTTGTAGGGATCGAGTCGGACTGAGATAATATCTGATTTAATTATCTCTTTTTATGGAGATAATATCTGAATTAAATGATATTATCTCTTTTTATGAAGATAATATCTAAGATAATGACATTATCTTCTCTTTATTAGGATAATATCTTAATTAATGATATTATCTTATTAAATAAAGATAATATCATTTAATTAAGATATTTATCCAAATTAATTAATTGGCCAGATAAACTGGTTCAATTAATTAATTAAAAGAGATAATCTTCTTTTCCAAGTGGCGTGCTGTGATTGGAGACGAAAATATCTGCTCCCACACTTATCTTTTGGAGTACGAAGTTGAATTTTTGTATGCATATCTCATTTTCTCACCTTCTTTGCTGAATACTATCGAGATTACTAGTTGGCTATTAATGACTAACTAGTTGTTTCAAACAAAAAGCCTATTTCGCACAAGCTACAGTGCTATAGCGTTGATGTGTAAGCTATTTGGAAATTTAGCGAAACAAATAAACTACGTAGAAAAAAGCTTACGCGACGCTATATAGCCCACTGCAGTAATGCTATTCAAACACTGATTGGGTATAAAGAGAGTTTTCAGAGGTAGAAAGATGTCCATCGGGAAGAGGGAGGAACAGAGGAAGGGCAAGGCTCAGTCCCATCAATAATGGTGACCATATCATAGTGTTTGAGCACAGGGAGAAAGAAATCTTTTAGGAGGAGGTAATTTTCTCTTGTAAGTTCGATGGGGAGGAGGTTGGGGACATGTTGAGGAGCAATTTGTGTAATCAAAGGAACGGGATCAGAAGAGGAGCTCTAGGGATGTCAGAAAAGGGGTTGGTATGAAACCTTTGAGTTTTGCAAAGATGATTTGAACAAACTGCCGATCCACCAAATTGGGTCAAGCTTTATTCTCAATCCCCTCTCTCACACTCTAATTCTTCAGTCTCTCAATCTGAGAGATTTGGTAAGTATGTTCAACAACATTTTATACCCTCAAATTTCATAATTTGTTTGAAATTTGCTGGCCAATCTTTTTTGGTTCAGAAACTATGAATTGTGAATCTGCTTTTTCATGCTCAGGGTTTAGATTATGTATTTGTTGTTGAGAAAATATGAATTTGTAGGGACCACATGGCTGAAAATGTTAGACATGCTTGCGGGTTCAGAAACTATGGATTCAATCTCTCTTGCTCGTGATGTTTTCTTGCACTCATATTAGTTAGAAAACATGAAATTATAGGGAATGAAATATGGCTCAATTAGGTCAGATATGCTTCTTGTTTCAATCTGCTATTTCATGCACTGAATATGTTAGATATGTTATATAGATGGAGGTGAACCAGGAGAAGAAGTTGTTGCTTCTTGAGAACTCATTTCATCGCTCCCCACCGCTCAGCTTGCATCGCATAAGCAAAGCCAATGGTTTTAAATCTGGAAATAAAATATTTCTGATTGTATGTGTTTATTTATATCCTTGCCTTGCTCTTGTAATTGTTTTGCTTGGCTACAGGTCATGTCGGCTGATCTCTTGTAATGAAATATTATTCTATTCTTGCTGCAAATCCTTCAGAGACGATGAGATAAATTCAACATAATTGGATTTCCTATTTGATTAGTGCTTCCACTTATGTGTCCAGCCACCTTCACCACACGTACTGTTCTTACCTACAAAAGGATATGCTGCTCTTGCAAGTTGCAACCTCAGTACTGTTTTCTTAATTTAGGAAAATCACAAAATATTCACTCTGTTGTTTTGATGAAAACCAACCCTCTTCCCATCAGCAACAGCTAGCAACTTGCTGTTTGAGCTTTAAGTAGTTGTTTGTAAAATTTTCCCATATTTTTTGATATTTGACCTTACCCAAATTATAGAAAGAAAAGAATACGCTGTCGTAGGATTAGTCTATTTTGTGCTTCAAATGTTAAGAGAGGACATGACAATAGAGTTTTTATAACTTTGTATTAAAGAAAATTAGGAACTGAAGAGAAAACCCTTGAAACAGAAAAAAGATGAATTAATTGGCATATTCAATGCAAGTGTGTAGTGTACATCATGGTTCCCTTTGTGGCTCCACTGTTTAGAAAAAAATGGCACAACCAAGAAAAGATAAATTAAAGAAGGGAGGTATCTGTTCTCTTACTCTTCCTCAATTTCAAGGCCTGGTACGTATTCTAAACTCACGTCGAAAATGACCGGACTACTTGGAGCCACCCTTGGCCTTCCTGGAGCTGAATTGAGACCCTTGGGAAACGCCAACTAATCAAAACCAGAGTAAAAGCACAAAGGTTAGAACTATCCTGCTGTGAATTCATAGAAGCACTTGCAATTGGTGGTTGGAAGATATCAAGCCAATACAATCATGACTGTTAAAGTTTCAACTCAACCCCACAAAAGAAGCATAACACATAATGCCTCAAACAGGTTCTAGGTTTTTGAATACCATTATTTTTCCCTTTTTCTTTTTCGACTGATAAAGAAATGATAAGGGTCAGATTTTACAGTAGGCCAAAGTTTCAGAAGCCTCTAGCCTAGTAGAGGCAAAAGAAAACCTTGTCAAATGGAGAAAGCAAAATGTATCTCATCCTGAGGCAAAAGAAAACCTTGTCAAATGGAGAAAGCAAAATGTATCTCATCCTTCTCTTCGACAAACCTTCCATGAGGAGCTGTTATTAATAATATCTTAGTTTTCCAGGTAATGATACATTTGTGAGCACCCCAGCCTAAAAAAATTTGGATAAGCTGCATGGCTGAGTAATCTCATAAACACTGTGATCAACGAAATTTTGCACTGCTATTGACAGGACGGGAAAGTATTCTACTAGAAAAGAATTCAAAGGAATAAATGCTCATATAGTTGAAAATAATTTCTTCTTTTCTTTTCTGTTTTTTTATTTATGGAAATATAAAGTTCCCAGTTTTTCTGTTACAAATAACACAAAGTAAAAAACTTACCGATCCTGGGATGTAGAGTCGGCGCTTCCCTCCTATTTTCATGGATAAGATCCCTTCATCAAGTCCCTTGATCACCTGTTCTACTCATTCAGATTAACAATTATTAACAAACATCCTTTTTTCCAGCAAGATAAGTTACTTTTAAATTCCAATAACAAATTGAGAATGTGATAATGTGATTCAAACAGTACCAATCTTTCTGACTCCCCTTTAGTCATGTACTTCATGTAATCACAGAGTTTTTTTTCTCTCCAAATTTTATTTTTTGGGTGATTGTACAATAACATGCTATCACCAAAACAACGACAGGACCTATAATGTCATTGATTACTGGAAAACTCTAGAGTTGTATTAATTGTTTCAAGAAGCAAACTCATGATTAATAGGATAAGTTTGGAACTGAAAGCACAAATAGACCACAATATCATTAATGTGATTACTCTTCTCTAATGAGGACGAGGATGACTGAAAAATCATAAATATAAATCAAATGATTGGAGACATTTATAGAGCATACCTGACCAGAGCCAACACGAAATATATAAACTTGACCTTTCTCCAAGGAACTGTATAATTGAAGAAAGAATACAAGAGTGAGAACCTGGATCTTATCTAAGCCCCAATCAAAATTTGTCAACCACAAAACTTGTTCTGAACCGAAAAAGAAAAGTTAGAAAAATCAAAATTAAAATTAAAAAAAGATGTAGGACGCCACCATATATTAGGTCCCAAGCGGAAAACCTTATAAAATATCAACAAGATCATACTTACAAATTAACCAACGTGAAGTTTACATCTCTGAGATGCTTTATTATTGAATACTAACAACTCTTAATAAATGAACAAGTAACCCATGCCAGGGTATATGTTGCTTGGATAGTTTCTCATGTTAAGGCTATTGTGGTTTGATTTAAAGGAGAATACCCAAAGCTTCCCAATAGTGCATAATGCATAGAGATGTAAAAAATGACGATTGGTTTTTTCTTCACTTCCCAACACTTTCCAATAAAATTATACTCGTGGTTGAGTCTGTTTACGGAAGTTTATCTGAGTTGGGTAAATCCAGCCACATGTTTATTCTTTTTTTGTGAGAAGCACATTTCTTTCGGTGGTGGTAAGAAGGAAAAAGTTCTATGGATTAGTATTGCGGTAGTTGTCTTTTGGTAATTTCATTGAAAAGGAATAAAACATTTTCTGAAATCATGGTAGGGAGAAGGTGAAGTTTTATGGGACAAATTCAGACTTTTGTCTTCATTTTTGGCTTAACTGTCTTCTGAGTTACATCACATATTGTTTCTTCCATTTTGGTAGATAGTAAAACAGCTGCTAAGCCTGTTATTTAGGCCTCTCAATTGTGTTTTGGAACTTTCTCGTTGTTAGAAAGTCTATTGTTTCCAATGTTTTTCTGTCTTCATTGATGTAGGTGTGATGGACAACTTGTCCAAAGTAAAAGTTCTGTTCCTGATCAGGAAAAGGAAAGAAAAAGTTCTAATAAAGTGTGTGCCTTGTACCCAACGATATATTGTATCCAGCGTATTGTTTTCTCCTGTTGTTGTGGGGATTGGGTGGAATTTTTATGGGACAAAGTCAGATTTTGGTCTTGACATTGGGTTTCCGTTTCTTTTAAGCTTTCGGAACATAATGTTTTCTTCTAATTTGGCAGATTGGAAAGTATCTGTTCTTTATTCCTAACTGTGTTTTGATTGTTTGCAATATTGTTGCTGTCTACATTGATGCATATATGTTGTGGATAACTTGTCAGAGTTGTACTTTAACTTATTTTATAAAACTATTTCTAAAGAAAGAAAATCATAAAAGCTATTGCACTTTTTTTGCTGCTATCAAGGTATAACAATGTGATACCTGTCAAATATTTGTCCAGATGGAACCATGGCAACATAATTCGCCGCCACCTACACAAAAATTATACAAACTCTGTCACCGTATGAGAGTCAAAAACACAATAAACAATGTACATCTATTGACAAGTAGATAAATGTCTGTATAGAATTCTATCCACCCTCTCTCTCTCTCTCTATGTGATAAAACCACCCACTATTTCCATATAGCTAAACCATAATATTAGCTAATTCACCTGAAGTGATATCAAGCTAGCTTGGTTCAGTCATGCAAACAACACATATACGGAGATTAAGAAAGTATAAGGAACAAAGGCTTATTCTCAGTAAGGAGATGCCAAAAATTTGACGCAAAATATACATTGATACCATATCTAGGAAACCAGAAAGTAAAAGGAAGTAGAAAATTTATATTTGAACTTCTAACAGTTAAGAGAGGATGAGAGCAGATACCAAAGACCTGTGGCTGCAGAGGCAATAAGTACTTATGAATTGTGATTATCTTAAGGACTACTAAGAAGTGCATTTTACGGAGATTCACAAAGAAGCAGAGATTATGGTACAAGAGCCAATATCAAATATAGAAAATAACCTTTAAATTTTATTAACAATCAAGTGCTTGTTTGTGTCAGAGAGAACAAAAATCGAACATATTCTAAAAACTAGTTCTCCCAATATGGATTCACCACCTGGATTTGCGGTTGGTTTAGGTGGTGAGAAAGTCAGTAAACTAAAGAAGGCTTTGTATGGCTTAAGCAATCTCCTAGAGCTTGGTTTGGGAGATTTTACTCAGTCTATGGAGAAATTCAGAAAGAGCAATTCTAATCATACATTGTTCTTAAAGAGCAAGGAAGGTAAAGTAATTGCTTCAATAGAAATAGGAAGTTTTTATTAGTAGAAATTTGTGTGTTAACTTTTTCACTTCTATGAGGTTCATTTGTTTCCTAGTTTGTATATCATTGTAATCCCTTCGATACCTCCTAGATGGAGAAGAACCAACATTCAGAAATTTAACCTAAAATTTAACATTACACACCTGAAAACCAACTGGTGGGCTGGGGCCTTGACCAACTTTAATATCCTTGTACTGCAAACCGGACTCTGTAGTTACCAAAGGTATCTTCAACAAAGAGACAAATTTAGCATCCATTACCAATACAGTTGATAGTTCACATCAACAAAGAACATTCGTCACTGTCATAAAATCAATGAACTTCCAGGGAAAAAAACATGATTATGATCATTTTAACCAGAAACAAGGCATCCTTATTAACTGACAGCAACAGAGTGAATTGATCATATGAGCTGCTATAAAGTGGAGAAAACGTATCTCAAGTAAAAGACACAAATCATTATGTTTAAATAATGTCTTGGGAGGTTATGCTCAGGTTGCATAATGTAAAGTGAAAAGTAAAATAGTGCTAGCAGAGACGATTTGACCAACTTAACTTGAACTCTGATTCAGTTAATAGATATCAAGGTCTGGCACAACATCTTGGAGCTCATGCCACAACAAGAACCATATGAAGGGATTAATAGATAGGCTCAAATTGGTGTGAGTTTGTAGAATGAACTACTCATCACTACGATTCTGAAACGGGCAACAAAAATCCTTGGAAAAATAATGAGGAAAAAAGTAATAGAGTTGAGTATAAATGGAAAAGGAATGCATAAATAGAAATAAATTGGTGGAGAGAAATTGGGAGTGTCATGACATATAAGGCAGCACTAAAACTAGATTTTTCACAACGTGCATATCGCAGATGTCCTTTTAATAATGTGAGAAAGCACTAAT